ATTATAGTCACCCATTATACAAATGCTATCATGTTCCAATTGGCTAATAATGTTATAGAGTTTTTTATAGAAACGTTTTTGCCCCTCGTTCGGGGCATAAATTCCAACCAAAAGAATTTTGGTTTTATTCAAAATTACTTCCACAATTAGAACTCTGCCATCTTTGTCCTTATAAATTTGCTTAGCCACAATTTCTTGTTTAATATATACTACCACACCTCCTTTCTTATATTGCGAAAGTGTTGCGAACATATTCCCCAGTTTAGGACAATTTAATAAATATTGATGTTGTTTTTTAATGTGGACTTCTTGTAACATTATTATATCTAAATTCATCTTATTGAGCCTATTGAAAAACTTCTTCCTTTTTGTTGGAGAGTTGAGGCCATTAACGTTGATAGATATAGATTCAACACATTTCTTCCCCTCCTTATCTATGTTTAGATCTAGTTACTATTGCTGGTCTAGACTCTTGAGTTTGTAAATCCTTCCCTCTTTCCACTGTTGATCTTATCGGTCTAGCCTCTTTAATTTCCTTAAACCTACTCTCCTCCTGCTTTTCTTCATTTTTCCCTTCATCAGTGTCCTCTCGAAGCTCAACTCTTTTACCTCTAGCTTCAATGGCTTGCACCAGTGTCTCTCCTTCCTCTCTTGCTTCTCTTTCAACTAAATCTTCCTTACTACCAAAGTTTTCCCTGTAGAATTCCTCTGCTTTTTCTATTGAGTCTAGGCGAAACTTTTTCTCCTGCCATGTTACCAGAATTCCTTCCGGAGTTAGCCATCTAAAATTGATATTTTTCCTTATCAGTTTGGAAGTTATGTATTGGTAAGGCCTTCGCAGGTCTCTCACTCTTTTGGGCACTTGTTTAAGTACAATCAGCTGTTTACCTCGATATTCCAGTGTATCATCTCTGAATCTGAAAAGAATTTCATCCCTAACTGATTTCTTAATAAACCTAATGTGCACTTCTCTGGGAAGATTGTGTCGTCTTGCGTAATTTGTGTGTATTCTATAGGTTTCATCTATCTCATTGGCCATCTCCTCTCTTGTAGACCCCAACGCTCCTGCTAGAATATCTGACATTATTACTGGGAGGTCTTCACCTTTCATCTCTCCTACATTTTGAAACCGTAGATAATGAGCAGCCTTCTCAAGTTCCAAAGAAATAACTGTGGTTTCTAATTCTTTATTGGCTTGAACTAGCCTTTCATTCATTTCATCCACTCTCTGCTCTTCTTTATCCATCCTTTCCTCCATTTCTACTAGTTTTTGTTCATTTTTCATAAGTTGGTGGTGGAAGGATTCAAATTTCCCATCCATAGATTTAATTTTATCTTTAAGTTCACCTGTATCATTCCTTATTTCACCTATTTCTTTTTTCAGATCTTCATGGTTTTTACACATTAACTCTTGCATTGATTGCAGCATTTGTTGCAAGTCTTTAAGTGGGTTTTCCCTATTTTTTTGAGCCATTTCTTCTAGTGATCTTTGCCTAACAGAACCTGGTTCCAGCAATGTAGTTTGAAATGTCTGCTTTCTCCCTATTCCAGCCCTTGTAAGATTTGGAGTACTAGACATTTTTTTCAATTTTCCAAACCAACCAAGTGACAGCTTTTTCTTGATGGGCTTGTTTGTGCCTGTCTTGTAAATGCTTCTTCGCGAAGCGCAGAACCCCACCCTGTTTTGGTTGGGAACCCTGGTACCTTTCAGGCGCAATTCTTCCTGAGGTTGTACCTTCCGACAGCCCAGACACACAGCTGCAATGTGTCCCTGCTTTCCGCATGCCCTACAGATAGCGGAGCGGAATCTACAGTCGGTCCTCTTGTGGCGACCTCCACAACCAAGGCACTTGGGGAGAGCTGAAGAGCTTCCTTTCTGTTTCCTTTCTTTCGTGGGGTAGAGACGGTCTACTTCATCATCAGGATCCTCCTCTGGGTTCCTTTGGGCTCCTTCCTGGTACACGGATGCAGCCTCTGGATTGCTTCTAATCGGCCTCATGTTCTTGATGGTGCCGCCCGCTGCCTCTTCTGCAGTAACCTCTCTCAAGGCATCTTGGAATGATAAGTCTTGTTTAGCAAAAAGTCTCTGCTGTAATTCTCTATGCCTCAGTCTGCATACAAATCTGTCTCTCAGCCGTTCTTCTAGATCCTTGAACTCGCAGTGTTTAGCGGCTTTTCTCAGCGCGGCAATATATTCTTTGGCTGATTCTCCGGGTTGCTGATCTCTCTGTTCGAAGGTGTGGCACCAAGCGATGACAGACAGCTTGGGCTGGAAGTGTTCCTTGAGTAGTTTTTTGAGATCTGTGTAATTAACAGATTCTAGAGGTACAGGTGCTGCTATGTTTTCAGCAATTTCGAATGCGTCTTGACCGCAAATGCACAGCAGGGTGGTGGCTTTCAAACTATCTTCTCTTACTTGGTTGACTTTAAGATAGTTTTCCACCCTGGCTACGTAGGATTCCCATCTTTCCGGATGCGAGACGTCAAATTCTGAAAGTCTTCCTACTTTTGCCATTTTTGTAGAAAAGGAAGGGTCTATCAGCCAGCCTACCCCCGATGCTCGCTGGATTGGCGGGTAGCTGCCAAGTCAACGCCATTCCTACCGCTCAGGACTCTCTCGGGTAAGCTTACACCTGTCTTCGGTCGATGTAAGGCAATCCCACCTTTGTCACCAGTGTTGCGTCCTTCGTGAAATGGCAATGACACGAGAAGCAGTTGTAGTTCTCAGGAACTTCTTTATTTCTGTTCAGCATACTGGTTACAAGACGCCGACAACGCCCAATCTCCCAGCCTCTTTTATAGGCCATTCCCAGGCCAATCTGCAACATTTGGTGCGCCAGCACTCGCGCCTGCGCGCAAGTGCTGGCGACAGCCAGTCTGGTCCCGGGCAGCTTGCACCTGCCCAGGACCGTTGCAATGCCCCAAGCCTGCTTCCACAGGCTCAGGACATAACACAGTTTATGCTTTTTCCTCCAACAAAACAAAAAGTAAATTATTGAATTGCATCATCTCAAAAACTCTTTGTTCATTGTCATGTGCTTTGTGATTGTTTTATTGATGTTAATGTTTTTATATTTAATGCTAATTTTTTAATGAGGGAGGATGGAAAAATTGTAATGTTACCTACCTGCTGATTCTTCTCCCTTTGAGCTCTGTAACTGAGGCCATTTCATTGATAACATTTTATTTCTTATTTTCAGACATCTTGCTTCTCAGGATCCAACTCATAAAATTCCCTTGGAGCTTGGGGAGGGGTGATCTTCAGAACTTTGGGTCAATTTTGCATAAAAAATTCTCTTTTGTCAGATGTAAGATGATTACTGGCATATAAGGTTTCATTTGAGTGAGCCTTGTTCCCTCAAACCTATGAATTGTGCAGCACGCACTGTTTTGCCCGTAAGACCAAGCAGGAATCAATAAATGCATTTTTGCTACCTGACTGAAATGGCAGAGAGAAGGTGATGTCAAGCATCAGTTAGTCTTTAAATTGTGGCAGAGAGGTTCTATTTGCTTAGTGTGTAATACAGACGTATTCTACGGACAGATGTTTATCTGCCCATAAAAAGTTTATGTAAGTTTCCTAGCACAAAATGTTTTCAGAATTAGAGCAAGAGGAGAATGATCTCTATAGTTCTATCATTTCCATAAACACCTCCAAGGAGTAATCCTCAATGGGGGGAAATGGGTGAGCAATACCGAAAGTTGTGTGTATCAATTTGTTTTATTTTTTATCTGAAGTATTTTTATGAATGTAATGCATTGTAAAATTGAAAATAAAAATTTTTTACAAAAAAAAATGAAACTACATCTATATGGAGGGAAGCATATATAGGTTCTGTCTTGGATCCAGGGTCTTCAACATCTTCATAAATGATCTAGATGATGAGATAGAATTTGCAGACGGATCATCAAATTTGCAGATGACACCAAGTTGGGGGGAATTGCTAACAGTTTGGAAGATTGGCTCAGTATTGTGAAGGATCTTGAGAGACTTGAGCATTGGGTTGTGTCTGACAAGACGCAATTGAGAAAATTAAGGTTCTGCACTTAGTCAGGAAAAACCAAATGCACAGATATAGAGAAGGCAGTACCTGGCTCAAAAATAATAACTGAGCAGGATCTAGGTGTCCTACCTAGTGGACCACCACTTAGGTATGAGGCAGCAATGTGCTGCACCTATCAAAAAAGCTAATACAGTCCTAGGCTGCATCAACAGAGGTATAGCATTAAGATCACAAGAAGTGAAAGTACCACTTTATATTGCATTAGTAAGGCCGCACATGGAACACTGCATCCAATTCTGATCACCATAATACAAAAAGATGCTGAAACCCTAGAAAGTATGTATAGCAGAGCAACAAAAATGATAAGAAGTCTGGAGACTAAACTGTAGAATGAATGGTTAAGGGAGGGAGGTATGTCTAGCCTATCAAAGATTGGGGCTGAATGATAGTAGTCTTTCAGTACTTGAGGGACTGTCACAGAGAAGAGGGAGTTGACTTATTCTCAAAAGTACATGAAGGCAGGACAAGAAGCAATGGGTTGAAGCTGTTTAAAGAGAGAACCTAAAACTAAAGAGAAATTTCCTCACAGTGAAAATAATTAATAATTAATCAAAAAATAATCAATTTGCTTCCTAGAGTTGTGAGTGCTCCATCGCTGGAGGTTTTCAAGACTGGACAACCATTTGTCCAGAATGGTATAAAACCTCCAAGTTCCCTTCCAGCCCTATGATTCTATGATTTAAGTTTAAGAAAGTCCTGTGCTGGACTTCCTATTTGTGTCAGAACTTTTACTAGCCCCCATTCCCAGATCATCAATTGGCAGAACTGATCTTCCAGGTCCTCACTGTCTGATGAATACTCTTAGGAATGCCAACTCCTGTTCCTATGCTTGGATAAATGGCATGTAATAAATGAAACACTTGGTATTTATCAGTTCCTTCTTAAGTTCACATCTTCTCATTCAACCCACTCATCTAATCTGTTTATCTTTCAAAGGTCTATAACCCATATCGCTTTGATTCAGCACATCATCCACTAGCTTTTGTGCCCTTTTCTGCAGGACCAAGGTAAGCAAATATCCAGCTAGAGACAAAATAGTTGTTAAGAAAAAAAGAGAAGGATTTTGGAGGATATCCATGTGACATTCTTAATGGGGGCTTTGGGGGCAAGGAACGGGGGCTTTGGGGGCAAGGAACATGAAAATACATGCTGAAAGTTTCAGCACAGCAGCCAGTTTGGTCTCTAATGGGGAAAAAACCCTTAATGAAGCTAGATTTGTCCAATGAGCTATAGAAAAAGAGAAGCCACTGATCTGGAGTCTTTCTTCCCTGCAGGAACTGCATTGGGCAGAACTTTGCCATGGCAGAGATGAAGGTGACCCTGGCACTGACATTATTGAGGTTTGTGGTGCGGTTGGATGAGAGCCGACCTGTACGGCGCAAGCCAGAGTTAATCCTGCGGGCAGAGAATGGGCTGTGGCTGCAAATGGAACCAATCCATGCTGAATCTTGATCAGAAGTTCTATATAGAATTTGCTGGTCTACAACCTGGCATCTATATTGTAATGCACCAAGAGGACTTTTGATCAGAGATGCTTTTTGCTTCTAGCTTTGTAGAAGGCAGGATAGATTTATTTTGCACACATTTTTCCATCGCTGTTTCTATGTTTCCTAGTCTACTAATTGCTGCTTAGACCTAGTTTATTGCTTTGCTACCATGAAGATCTCCAAGAGGTATTCTAAATTAAAGCCATATGAAATGAACTTTTGGCTTGGTTTTAAATATTTAGATGATGGGATGCCTATAGTATAGAATCAAACTTCCAGGTTTTCAAAAAAAGATTGGACAGTCATTTAGAATTGTCTGGGATGCAATATGGTCTCCTGCCTTGGGCAGGTCTAGAAGATTACCAAGGTCTCTTCCAGCCCTATGATTTTATGATTCTAAGCTATTCAATGACAACTGTCTACAAAACTATAGCCCAAGAATTCCAGCACAAAAACAAATGCATTCTGAATATTCCAAACATCATCTAGGTTGGCTTTCCATGCTGCGCTTTTATGTACTGCTATTAACATTCTATCCCTTCCAAGGGGAATTTCTAATCCTTTCTAACAAAAGCAATTTCCATTCTGGAAAATCGTCTCCACCGTGAGGAAAGTAGAAGAAGGAAGGAGTATTAAGTATGCTCACCACCTTGAGTTATTGTAAAAATAATAAAGGTGGGATACAAATACTTAGACAAATAAACAAATATAAAGTTTCACATAGGTGTGATGATTCAGTCTATTTTACTCTAGTTTAATTCATATTTTATTCATGCCTTGATAACCCATTTTTATTCATGTATTGTTTTATTTAGCACATAGATATTGGAGGCCATAGTAATAAATGAAAACCAGGCTTCCTGCCTTCTTCCCTTGGAATGCCTACTCACCACGGGGATTGATGAGATTAGGTACCAAGTTATTTAGAAATTCTTTTAGTGTAGAAATGTTATTGATAAGATAAAGATCCTTACACATCTTGTAACCTTTACTTGAACTAGGTTATTATGACTAGTGAAAATGTATGCATGATGTTGCTTTTTATGATTAGTTTATAGCATTCTATGTTTCCATAATTGTTCCAAACGTGCTTTTTCCAAAAGGCAACTGGACTTTCTTGGTTCATCCAAGAAAGCTTCTCATCCAAAAAGCTTCTTTAGTTCTAACTGACTGGTGAGGAATGGAAGTATTTATATTCTTTGTAGCCATCTGAGGGTTGGTTGTTAGCTCTCTGAGAGTCATTGAGACGAGAGTTTATCTCTAACTTCAGAGTCACCTGAATCAGAATGTAAAGGGGTGTGGAACCTTTTCCGGACTACTGAAAGAATTGTGTTATAAACAGGAGAAAAGTAGTGTCATATTCTTCCCCCTCCATTGAGGGAAGGCTATTCAATTTTAACACAAATGGCCTCTTTGACACCTCTTTCAAACCTGTGATCCATTCTGTCCAGAATGGAACTTTGTTGTCTTCAAAAGAGTGACCTTTGCTTTCAGGGGCAGATGCACTGTTGAATCCTGTCCTGATGAATCTGTTCTCCTGTGTTGTCCATGTGTTTGTGAAATGGTTATTTTGTTTACCCAATGTCTGCACGTCTCACTGCATTGCACTGCATATACTACATTGTTCTATTTGTGTCTCGGTATTTTGTATTTGGGGTGGACAACCTTCTGTCGTAATGTATTCCTGGGTTTAAAGTGTGCATGTTGGTTGAAAATCTTCCTAAACTTTTCTGATATTCCTGCAACGTATGATATGACAATATTGCTCTGTTTGTTTTTGTCTGTTATGAAGAAGCACCTGCTGGATCTCTTTGTGGATTTGATGAATGGCTAGTTAGGATAGCTATCAGTTCTGAGGGCTTCCTTGATGTGTGTTTGTTGTTTTCCCTCTTTGCTGGTAGGCAAAGGTGTAGGGTTTCAATTACTGAGTCTCAGAGAGCTAATGAACAATTCTCAGAATGCTTTCGACCAGATGGCTGCAAAGAATATAAATCTTTCCATTTCCCATCAGTCAGAAATGGAGAAGCTTCTTGGAAAAGAAGTGAAATGATTTCAAAGGAATAAACAAATTTCAGTTGCCTTTTGGAAAAAGCACCTTTGGAATAACCATGACCTGGATGATTGAGAATCTCCATAGACATGCTTCCATGACTGATTGACTGCCATGTATCTTTTTAAAGTTGTATAAAAGGAGGTCCATTCTAAGCAGGAGTCTGCTTATGTTAGAACTTGCTTCTGAGCAACCTTTTATTTGCAAATAAAAGTTTCAATCCTTTCTACTATTCTGGTGTGATTTTTGGGCTTACACATTAGGTAAAAAGTCTCCATCTTTCTGGAACAACAGGAGCATAAATTGCTCAAATGTTTTTAAAAATTCCAAATGCCAAACAAAGCAGTTTGTGGCTGGAGAACAAGCCATCCATTAGGTGCATGTTTGTGGCCTCTGATTGTCTGAGTTGCATGTTGGTTAGTGGTAATGAAGATAATGGATCACTTGAAACCAGTTTGGTATAGTGGTTAAGGCATCAGGCTTGGACACAAAGCCATCTAGGTGACTTTCTCTCAGTTCTAAGGAGATAATGACAAGCCACTTCTGAAATCTTGCTAAGAAAACTGCAGAGACTTCTGAAGACAGTTGCCAGATGTCAATATTGATTCAAAGGAAGCGGGGGGAGAGATATGCATAACATTCAGTTTCTATAATTGAGAAGTAGATTATTGATCCTTTGATATAAAAACAAAATGTTTCTATTTTTGTCTGTGAAGGGCTTGCTCCATTCATTATAACTGAACCTCACAAATCTCTTTTTCCAACAGTAGTCCTCTTCTCTTCTCTTCTCTTCTCTTCTCTTCTCTTCTCTTCTCTTCTCTCTCTCCCCCCTGAGGGAGGTAAAGGCCAAGGAAAAGGGCAATAGATGATATTCACTCAAAGTTACAGCTCTTAGGAAGTCTAGAAGGAGAAATGCTCAAACTGCAATCTGTAGCAATTAATCTTTAGATTCAGCCCCATTCTGATAGATTATGACTGGGCTCTCAAGTTCAACTTTTTGTGACATGTCTATTTTCCCATCTCTATACAGGAGCCTCAACCATGTCTAACACTCTGGAATGAAACCTCAAATTTATTGGAGTGTCCATTATCTGTATTGGCTAGGTTGTGGTCATAATTCTGAAAGTTCAAAGCTACCAAAGCTCTTGGAAGTTGTCACATTCAAACCAAGCTAATGTAGCCTGCTTCCTTAGCAGTGTTCCCTGGTTGGCTGATTAGGGCCTTGACCCTAGAATTGAGACAGGTGGACAAAAATCTGAGTACTGGGGGACAGATTCAAGAGCAGAAGAAAGGAACGAGGGAGCGAAAACCATGACACTGCTATGAGGAAAGAAGGCTGGACTCCTTCTGAAAGAGAGAGAAAGATTGCCCCTCCCCCCCCCAAGGAACAGGACACTTATATCTCACCCTGGAGATTACATCCTAGCTGCCATGAGAGGTAGACTTGATAGGCCTCTAATTGGGCCAGCAGAGGATATGTTTATTGACAATAGATTGGTGAAGGGCCATTTGGCCAAAAAGGATAGTCTTTGGGATATTTTTAGCTTGAGCAACATTGCTCACCATAAGATTTAATAACAGAACAGAATAACAGAGTTGGAAGGGACCTTCAAGGTCTTCTAGTCCAACCTCCTCAAGTAAGAGACCCTATATCCATGGTGGCAAACCTATGGCACGGGTGCCAGAGGCGGCACGCAGAGCCCTCTCTATGGGCACGCACGCCGTTGCCCCAGTCCTAGGCCTTCAGCTGGGTTTTATAAAACCTTTTTGCTTTAGGCCTCCGCCACCATATGCAAAAAAAAAAAGTTTTATTCAATCAATTTCAACTTGATTGAAAAAAGGTCTTGCAAAGTTGAAATTGATTGATTGAACTTTTTAGTCCCAGTCTGTCATTACCACGGCAGCCACACCCACCCAATGGGCCACGCCCCCCCAATTGTCCACAGCCACCCAATTGGCCACGGCCACCCGGCACCCGAGGATACATAAGTGGGTTTCGGGTTGCAATTTGGGCACTCAGTCTCTAAAAAGTTCACCATCACTGCCCTATATCATTCCAGACAAGTGGCTGTCTAGTCTCTTCTTAAAAACCTCCAGTGATGGAGCATCCACAATTGAAATTTCTCTGTAGTTCCAGATTGCTTCTCCCCCTTTTTTTTTGTAAAATTTTTTTTTTCAATTTTACAATACATAACAATCTTACAAATACTTCAGATAAAAAATAAAACAAATTGATACACACCACATTCGGTCTTGCCCGCCCATTTTCCCTCAAACCGCATCCCACCTCAAACCAACTTACTTCTTTCCCTCTTTTTCTTCACTCACCCCCTCTCCTCCTTCACCTCCACCTTCCTACTTACTTTTCACCTTCTTCTTCTCCTTCTTGATGCAGTCCAGGGGAAATGCCCGAGCAGTTCCTCTCTCAAAATTAAAACATTAATATTATATACAATAAGACTATTTCTACTTTATCTGAACTACTTAAACTTCAACCCATCCACCCCCACCCCCCACCCCCCACCCCCCTCCCACCCCGACTTCCCAGAGCAAAATACAGGATTATGCAAACATATTAAACATAATCTATTTAAGTTTACTAATTATACAATGAACAAAATCATAAAAACCCTTAACTCTCTTCAAACTTTAATATCATAAGTTTATAAACAAAATCATTACTCATAGAATAAGTGAAACTTTGTAGTTCCATATTTCTTCTGAACATATTCTATCCATCTTCTCCATACGTTAAAATATCTCTCTTGTGAATGGTCCTTTAAATAAGCAGATATTTTAGCCATTTCTGCTAAATTAGAAACCTTAAATACCCATTCTTCTAAAGAAGGCAGAGTATCCTTCTTCCAATATTGACCCACCAGTAATCTTGCTGCTGTTATTAAATTCAATATTAAAATAGTTTCTTTAACATTAAAATCCACAAAAATTCCCAAAAGAAACAGTTGGGGAGTAAACTTAATCTTCCTTTTAAAAACCTTTTGAATGTTCCACCAAATCATAATCCAGAAGGCTTTAATAACTTTACAAGTCCACCAAACATGAAAATAGGTTGCATCCAAGCAACCACATCTCCAACATTTAGGTTGCAGGTTCGGGTACATACAGGACAGTTTTTTAGGATCCAGATGCCATCTATAAAACATTTTATAAAAATTTTCCCTCAAATTCTGGGCCTGTGTAAATTTAACATTTCTAGTCCAAATTACCTCCTATAGGTCCAACGAGATCGGTTCTTGAATATTCTGGGCCCATTTAATCATACAATCTTTGACTGTTTCTGAATCCAATTTTATTAACTCATTATAAATTCTTTTAATATGGGCACATTTCTGATCCGTGATCTGAATTACCAAATTTTCATCTACTAAAGTAATTCCCACTTTCTTATCCAAAGTCCATCTCTGCACGATTTGCTAATATTGAAACCACGATTGTAAAATGTTTTCTTGCCTTAACACATCAGAAGACTTTAATTGCCAATCAGTGCCCGACCAAATAAGTAACTCTTTATACAAAATTTTGTCAAAATTCATCCCCTTAGAAACCCCCTGGATTGCTTGTCCAGGGATCACCCAAATAGGTATTTTATAATTTAACTTTTAATAATATTTTTCCCAAACTCGAAGTAAAGCATATCTTAAAATATGTGACTTAAAGACCGAATCTACTTTCTTATCAAAAATTAAATATGCATGCCAACCATATAATAAATCCCACCCTTCAAGAACAAGAATATCTCTATTTGTTAAATTAAGCCAGTCACTTACTAAAGTTAAAGTGGCCACATCATAATATAATTTCAGATTTGGTGCTTTAAGTCCACCTCTTTCTCGAGCATCTTGTAAAATCTTAAACTTTTCCCTTGATTTTTTCCCGCCCCAAATAAATGTATTAATACCCTTCTGCCACTCATCCAAATTAGCATCCTTCTTTAAAATGGGTATCATCTGAAACAAAAAAAGAAACTTTGGTAGAACATTCATCTTCACTACTGAAATTCTCCCCAATAATGATAGTTGTAGCTTTTGCCAATCATTTAAATCTTTTTAAACTTTAACCCATAAGCGCTCATAATTATTCTTATACAATTTTCCATTAGATGTTGTAATATAAACTCCTAAATACTTAACCTTATTAACTATTTCATAACTGGTTGTTTCAGCTATAAAATCTTTTCCCTTCCTAGACATATTTTTCAATAATATTTTAGTTTTATTCTTATTTATCTTAAAACCAGAGACCTGTCCATACTGTGCTACAATTTCAATCAGATCTTTGACCGAATCTGTTGGATGGGATAATGTCACAACCAAATCATCAGCAAAAGCTCTCAGCCTATAATCAATCTTACTTATTTTTATTCCTTTTAATCTAGATGAGTCTCGAATTTTAATAAGTAAAATCTCCATTGTTAATACAAATAGCAAGGGGGATAAAGGACAACCCTGTCTTGCACCTTTTCCTATTTTAAATACGCCTGTTAATCCCCCATTAACTATAATTTGTGCCGATTGTTGTTGATAAATGGCCTTGAGAGCAGACAAGAATTTATCTCCAAAATTCATTTCCTCTACAACTTTCAATAAAAAATTCCAATCTAATTAATCAAAAGCTTTCTCAGCGTCTATAAATATTAAAGCAGCAGGGATTTGGTTGTTCTTATCCAAATACTCTATTAAATTAACAATTTGTCTTACATTGTTTTTCATATATCTCCCCATTATAAATCCAGATTGGTCAGTATGAATCAATTATTTCAAAACCTGCATTAATCTATTTGCCAGTATCTTTGCAAAAATCTTATAATCTGTATTTAAAAGAGATATAGGCCTGTAATTTCTAGGTTGGGACAGATCCTGGTCATCCTTTGGAATTAATGATATGAAGGCCGTTCTCCAAGATGGAGGTAATTCTGCTCCAGATAAAATATCATTAAAAAGTACCTTTAATGGTTCTATCATTTCTTCAGATAACATCTTGTAATAAATCGCTGTTAACTCATCAGTACCTGGAGTCTTACCAACCTTCAATTGTTTAATTGCAAAAATAATCTCTTCAGAAGTAATTAAACTATTAATCCCATCACATTGATCACTCGTAAGTCTAGGAAAATGTGCTCCCTGTAAATATTTTTCTATATCTGAAGTTTGTATACTTTCACTAGCATATAATTTAGAATAAAAATCTTAAAAAGACTTTTTAATCAAAT